TAGATATGTCTTGACATACGGGCATCTGCTCATGTAGAGGTCATCACCGCCAACCCGGGGATCAGCAAAGTACCGATACTCCTCTGGGAGGGCTTCCTCGTGCCTCTTCAGCTTACAGCGCCCCAGAGACAGACGGTCGTACGTGCAGAGCTTATATCCGGCACGCGAGAACTGGTTGCAGAACAGATCAGGGTATTCGCTGATGCCGTCGGTCAAGCACTTCTTTTCCAGCAGCCCACAGCCAGAGTTGTTGCCCCACCACAACATCTCAGCCGCGCTGTAGTTTGCCAAATAAAAACCCATGTCCTCAAATGCTGCAAGCGTCAGTGCCGAGTACAGCCCAACCCTCAGATCACTAGTCATCAGCTCGTCCCTCATGCTGCGTTTCTTCCAATGCGAAAGTGCAGTTGCAGGACCACCCTCGTCCTCCAGCTCAATGCCCTCAAGCGTGGGGCAGTTGTGGTACTGACGCGCCATTGCCTTCGTCTTCGGTGTTGAAATCACCGACACCTTGGAACTCCCGCGCACGTTCAAGACCTCGGAAATCATATGTAACATCACAAAAAAATCAACAGAAAACCCAAGAGCATGCCCCAACTCGTGGGCTGCTATACGCACGTATCCATTTGTCGCCGCTACTCGCCTCGGGTCAAAGTTCACGGCAGCAACAACTGGACGGCCATCATCCAGCATGAAGCACAGAGCCGCCCATGCGGCTGGACCAGAAGTCGGAAAAATATTGGCGTAGAGAATCATGTCGGTGCCAGCCACACCCACCGTGCGGTGTCTGCGAGGGATGGTGAATTTATCGCACATCCCCAGACCGGTTTGTGGAATAACGATGGGACCCGTCACGGGCCTCACGGAGAGACGCTCCGCGTGCAGTTGAATGGCGGCGGGGAGAATTTGCCTCAAAATAATGCTCCTCCTCTCCTCCGTCAACACGTCGTCCGCCTCGCATGTTATTGCGCGGCCATTGTGGTCAATGCGCAGATCCCCCGCCGCAGTGCAGTGCCTCAACGGATTGTGCATGTCCTCCGCGGACACCTTGATGCGGATCGGAGCCCAGCCATCGTCCCCATCCTCGCTGGCGGCAGTGTACGCCTGCACGGCGCCCTGTCCCCGGCGCGGCACCTCACGCACCACCGCAGTCGGCAGCCGGCCGTATTTCTTCATCATCGCGTCAAACCCACAGCGGTGCTTCACGGCGCGATCGGCGGCAACGCAAACACCGGCGCAACACACCACCATGATGAGCCACGGCAGCAGCAGCAGCGGCGGCGCGGTGTGGCGTGGCTGGCACATGGCTTGGGGACAATGTGTCTGTTCCTGAGGTGTGGGCAGCAGCAGTGGTATTAGTCGTGGTAGTGGTAGCACAGGCCTTGTCTGCAGAAAAAGAAGCAGAAGGAGGAGGATAACAAAGGGACAAAGAGACGCTGCAGCCACAAGAGAGAGAGGGGCAGCACCACATATTACCGCAGCGCACACACAAACAACAAAAACAGACGGAGCCTCCAAATTAAGCCGAAGCACAAAAAAATGTTCGCCGGGCTGCTGGCCGGATCCTGAACTGATACGCACAAATAAAATAGGACGGGAAATAAGAGGGCCATAGAGAGGCAGCGGCCCCGCCACATCCTCAATGTTTGTCCCAACCACATCTATATGTTCGGATAGCCACCCTCGTGCCACGGTGCGGTGTATTCGGGTTGGAGATATTTATTACTTACGAAATGGAAGAATTTGGGCTCCTCCAGCCACAAGACCCCGCCGCAAGGTCCAAATCAAAGAGGGTGGATGGCAAAAATAAAAATAAAAATAAAGTTCGTCGTGCCGTTATCGGTTCCTTGGTTCCTTCAAATGCGTTCTCCCAAAGAACCATAAGATAGGAAAAGGATCACAGAGAAATATTTTCGTCGGTTTACAAGGAAATATATTAAATTGGGCAGCCAGCCCTCTCGATAACATTCTTCTCACAGGCCCTGAAAAATACCAGCACCCCATCTACGCATTGACACGCACACGGAGTGAAGAGAGGGCACAGGAGAGAAAAGTATAAAAAACAGTCCTCGACTCGATTTCCTCCAGCACAAGATAAGAAATATACATGTAAACACCTCGCACCCTCGCCATGTTGTTGCCATTGCCGCGACGGATGCATTCCGTGGCCCACGGCGAGTCCGGCGTGACTCCCCACTCCCACGATCATTCATGACTGACGAAAAGAAGGTGCTGAGTGTTTCTTTCGCTCGCCTCCCGCGTGGGGCGGGGAGGATCGCGTCGGGCGGGCCTCCACAACTCACCCTGCGCGCGACCTCTACATCAACAAGCTGAGCAAAGAGGACATGGCTGGGCCGTTTTGGCGCCCACTCGTAGGGCCGGCCATTCCCCCGCAGCAAAAATGAATAATAGTAAAACCCAGGAGAGGCCCGCCTGCGTGGAACGCCGCAGCGAAGGCTCTCGTCCCCGCCCTCAGCACAGCAGTCACGGACACCCCGCACCCATTGGGTAACAGCGACTTCCCATCGCCTGCCCGCATCAGAAGACGCACGTGGGCGCATGCGGTGCTGGGACTCGTCTCCTCCCTCCAGACCACCTCGCCACCACGCGGTTGCGCAGAAATTCATTCCGCCAGCACACAAATGTCCGTTAAGCCACGCATCGCAGGCACAAGAAAACTAATATACTCATCGTCCGTTTTTCAGAAGCGAAGAGAGGAGTAGCGCAACAGTTGCACGATGCTATTATTATCGCTGTGCTGCGTCTCGCGAGTGCGGGGTCGACGGGCCATGTGCACATCACGACCCTGCCAAACGCTGCTCGCGCATTTTCTTTTTTCGTTTAGCTCGTGTTTTCTCGTTTCCTCAAATAAGTATGATGCCCCGCACGCCGGCCGCCATCGCAGTGCACGTCCGCCCCGCCACGTGGAGATGTGGAAGAGAGCCCCGTCGCCCGGAGACGGAGCTGCAGCGGAGAGCGCGAAGCACAACCCTGTTACGCTGCTGCTCGATTGGGGTGTGTCCGCAGTGCCGCCCGCCCCACAATCCACGCTGCCCAATAAATTTATTGGCGGCAAAATCCCGGAATCAGAGTCGCCGCGGCCGCTTCCTCGGAGTCTCGCCCTCGTCTTCTTCCGCATCCTCCGCGGATGTCGGGTCGTCCGCTAGAGGCGGGTCAACGACCGGTATTGGGTGGCTGCTGATGTTCGGGAAGGCGGTGCACACATCGGCGTATTGGGGGCACACAATGCTCCCGCGCCAGGGACCCGATGGCGGCGTGACGGTCTCACCCTCCTGGCACTCGTGCCACGCATCGTCACGAAGGAACCGCACGCTCAGTGTGCCGTCGCTGCATCGAGTGTCCACGCACACATCGCCAATATATTTGTCGTCGAATTGAAGCTCCTGCCCCTTCACACACCGCGAGTTCGGGCCAACGATACTGCCAAGCATTACTGAAGGATCGCCGTTGGTGCACCCAGCATTAGAATATTTCTTGACATACGGGCATCTGCTCATGTAGAGGTCATCACCGCCAACCCGGGGATCAGCAAAGTACCGATACTCCTCTGGGAGGGCTTCCTCGTGCCTCTTCAGCTTACAGCGCCCCAGAGACAGACGGTTGTACGTGCAGAGCTTATATCCGGCACGCGAGAACTGGTTGCAGAACAGATCAGGGTATTCGCTGATGCCGTCGGTCAAGCACTTCTTTTCCAGCAGCCCACAGCCAGAGTTGTTGCCCCACCACAACATCTCCGCCGCGCTGTAGTTTGCCAAATAAAAACCCATGTCCTCAAATGCTGCAAGCGTCAGTGCCGAGTACAGCCCAACCCCCACATCACTAGTCATCAGCTCGTCCCTCATGCTGCGTTTCTTCCAATGCGAAAGTGCAGTTGCAGGACCACCCTCGTCCTCCAGCTCAATGCCCTCAAGCGTGGGGCAGTTGTGGTACTGACGCGCCATTGCCTTCGCCTTCGGTGTTGAAATCACCGACACCTTGGAACTCCCGCGCACGTTCAGGACCTCGGAAATCATATGTAACATCACAAAAAAATCAACAGAAAACCCAAGAGCATGCCCCAACTCGTGGGCTGCTATACGCACGTATCCATTTGTCGCCGCTACTCGCCTCGGGTCAAAGTTCACGGCAGCAACAACTGGACGGCCATCATCCAGCATGAAGCACAGAGCCGCCCATGCGGCTGGACCAGAAGTCGGAAAAATATTGGCGTAGAGAATCATGTCGGTGCCAGCCACACCCACCGTGCGGTGTCTGCGAGGGATGGTGAATTTATCGCACATCCCCAGACCGGTTTGTGGAATAACGATGGGACCCGTCACGGGCCTCACGGAGAGACGCTCCGCGTGCAGTTGAATGGCGGCGGGGAGAATTTGCCTCAAAATAATGCTCCTCCTCTCCTCCGTCAACACGTCGTCCGCCTCGCATGTTATTGCGCGGCCATTGTGGTCAATGCGCAGATCCCCCGCCGCAGTGCAGTGCCTCAACGGATTGTGCATGTCCTCCGCGGACACCTTGATGCGGATCGGAGCCCAGCCATCGTCCCCATCCTCGCTGGCGGCAGTGTACGCCTGCACGGCGCCCTGTCCCCGGCGCGGCACCTCACGCACCACCGCAGTCGGCAGCCGGCCGTATTTCTTCATCATCGCGTCAAACCCACAGCGGTGCTTCACGGCGCGATCGGCGGCAACGCAAACACCGGCGCAACACACCACCATGATGAGCCACGGCAGCAGCAGCAGCGGCGGCGCGGTGTGGCGTGGCTGGCACATGGCTTGGGGACAATGTGTCTGTTCCTGAGGTGTGGGCAGCAGCAGTGGTATTAGTCGTGGTAGTGGTAGCACAGGCCTTGTCTGCAGAAAAAGAAGCAGAAGGAGGAGGATAACAAAGGGACAAAGAGACGCTGCAGCCACAAGAGAGAGAGGGGCAGCACCACATATTACCGCAGCGCACACACAAACAACAAAAACAGACTGAGCCTCCAAATTAAGCCGAAGCACAGAAAAATGTTCGCCGGGCTGCTGGTAGGACCCTTAACTGATCCGTAAAAATAAAATAGGACGGGAAATAAGAGGCTCATGAAAAGGCAGCGGCCCCGCCACATCCTCAATGTTTTTCCCAAATATATTTTTATATTCTGAGAGGCACTCTCGTGCCACGGTGCGGTGTATTCGGGTTGGAGATATTTATTACTTACGAAATGGAAGAATTTGGGCTCCTCCAGCCACAAGACCCCACCGCAAGGTCCAAATCAAAGAGGGTGGATGGCAAAAATAAAAATAAAAATGAAATTCGTCTTGCCGTTATCGGTTCCTCAACTCCTTCCATCGGGGCCTTCCAAAGGACCATTAGGTAGGAAAAGGATCACACGGAAATAATTTCGTCGTTTTACCAGAAAATAAATTGGGCAGGCAGCCCTCTCGATAACATTCTTACAGGCACTCAAAAACACCAGCACCCCATCTACGCAGTGGCAGAAACACGGAGTGAGAAAAGGGCACAGGAGAGAAAAGCAAAGAAAGGTCTGTGACCTAATTTCCTCCAGCACAAGATAAGAAATATACATGTAAACACCTCGCACCCTCGTCATGCTGTCGCCATGGCTGCGACGGATGCATTCCGTGGCCCACGGCGAGTCCGGCGTGTCTCCCCACTCCCACGATCATTCATGACTGACGAAAAGAAGGTGCTGAGTGTTTCTTTCGCTCGCCTCCCGCGTGGGGCGGGGAGGATCGCGTCGGGCGGGCCTCCACAACTCACCCTGCGCGCGACCTCTACACCAACAAGCTGAGCAAAGAGGACATGGCTGGGCCGTTTTGGCGCCCACTCGTAGGGCCGGCCATTCCCCCGCGGCAAGAAATGAATAATAATAAAATACAGGAGAGCCCCAGCCCCCGGAGAGGGAGCTGCAGCGGAGGGCGCGAAGCACAACCCTGTTACGCTGCTGCTCGATTGAGGTGTATCCGCAGTGCCTCTCGCCCCACAATCCACGCTGCCCGATAATTTAATTGGCGGCGGAACCCCGGAATCAGAGTCGCCGCTGCCGCTTCCTGGGAGTCTCGCCCTCGTCTTCTTCCGCATCCTCCGCGGATGTCGGGTCGTCCGCTAGAGGCGGGCCAACGACCGGTATTGGGTGGCTGCTGATGTTCGGGAAGGCGGGCA